CTGCACAGATGCTGTGGGCTGGCTGGGTCCCCAGCACTGGGATGAGTTATTTGGGCAGGCAGAGCTGCCCTTGGCAAAGATTCCTCCTGATTTGTGCCGTTTCTAAGTAGCATTTTTTAAGATCAAAGCAAACATCCCCTGGTGAATGGGAAATTTGGAAGAGCTGCCTTTGAATCCATGGTCACCCTAGTAAACACCACCAACATCCATTCCGTAGCAAAGCTTTTTCTTCTTTCCAAATGCCAAAGCCATTGATGGAGTTTGTTACCTGTGCTTTAAATGTGTCAAAAATGGTATTGACCCAAACGGGAGGTACTTAATTCTGACCAGTATTGTGAATTGTGATATGAGGCGTGTAAAGAAGCTTGAAGCTTGTTTCAACGGGTCCTTCTGTCCTTAAAAATGGCCCGAGTTTTGTTTCTGGCATCAAAGGAAACATTTCAGGAAGGGTGAATTTCTCTTGCAAGGACAACAGTCACACTGCTTCCTTTTATACCCTTGCAGATGTTCATGGGCTGTCACTGTATCAATCTGCTTCATTTGTAATGTGCCAATTTATTTTTTTCTGATACCGATTATAAAATAAAAAGTAAGAAAACCCGCCCCAGAAACCTGCATGTGTTTGGCAGTAGTGAGTTTCTGCAGTTCAGCCAGGTGCCTCCTGCCGCCAGCCGGGGCTGGAAGCCGCCCCGGCCGCTGGGGGAGGCGGGCTCAGTGGCTCAGTCCCTGCGTTCGTCCCAAAAACCCGAGCTGGGATGTACTGGAAGCATCAACCGGGAGGGAGCGACTGCCCGCAGCCTCCTGCAGCAGCGCCCACGGCCCGGGCTCAGGACACGGCAGGAAGGATGCTCCGGGGAGAGGACACGGCAGGAAGGATGGTCCGGGGAGAGGACACGGCAGGAAGGATGGTCCGGGGAGAGGACACGGCAGGAAGGATGCTCCGGGGAGAGGACACGGCAGGAAGGATGCTCCGGGCTGGGACACGACAAGAAGGATGCTCCAGGGTCAGGACACGGCAGGAAGGATGGTCCGGGGAGAGGACACGGCAGGAAGGATGCTCCGGGCTCAGCACACGGCAGGAAGGATGCTCCGGGCTGGGACACGACAAGAAGGATGCTCCGGGCTGGGACACAACAAGAAGGATGCTCCGGGCTGGGACACGACAAGAAGGACGCTCCGGGGCCAGCCGCTGCGGCACCGCCCCGCACTCCCCGGGCTGCGGAGGCCGGCGTGGCTCACCCAGCCCTGCCCGCTCTCCCAGGAGCGCTTCTCAGGAGCGATTGGCACTTCCAGCTGGACAGGGACTACGGGCTCCTGTTAACCTCCCTCTCTGCCCGGTTCCGGACGCTGCAGGGCTGTTCCGAGAGGCCCCGAGCATCGGCCGGAGCTGCTCCCGGCCGCGCTGGGGCTGTGCCCAGGGCAGGGGGCTCCGTGGCAGCTCAGGGGGGTCCCCATCCCTGGGCCAGGCAGAAATGCTGCTCCGGGCCAGCCGTACCTGGGCACAGTGCCACGGGCTGTGGGACCCCGGCTGTCTGCCGTGCCACCGCCATGCCATGACATCGCCGCACCGTCACATCACCACACCGTGACACTGCCACACCGTGACACTGCCACACCGTGACATTGCCGCACCGTCACATCGCCACGCCATGACATCTCTACACCGTGACACTGCCACACCGTGACATCGCCACACCGTGACACCGCCGTGCTCCTCGCCGTGCTCGTCTCCCATGGCTGGGGGCACTTTGTGCCCTGATTGTGCCCTGCCTCCCCTTGGCAGATTCAGCCAGGTTTGGAAATCCTGGTGCAGCAGAGCCCAGCGAGGACCTGGCATGGTGGGGCCACACTTCAAAGGCAAAGTCTGGGGAAAGTGGAAAACAAATAGAGGTTTCTGCAAGGCTGGCAGGGTCCTACCTGTGTCACAGGTGACATTGCCAGCAGGGAGCTGGGGTCTCTCCTGTTTGGGGACATGGAAGGAGGGGTGGAGAAGCCTTTTGTCCCTGTTGGCTTTAGCAACGAGGCAGAGCAGAGCCAGCTCCCGGCTCTGTGTCCCTCAGTGCCAGTCACCGTGGGTGAGGGAGCTGGGGTGCCTGTGCTGCAGCTCCAGTGCTGTCCCCCCTGCAGCCACGGCTCTGTCCCGTCCCCCAGCAGGACAGCCCTGGGCAGGCGCTCTCTGATCTGCGGGGTTTAGAGGAGCAGCCCACGCGCTCCCGGGCTGGCTCCACAGTGCTGAGAGCAGGCTCCCGTGCTAATCCTGACACTAACGTCCTGCTTTTCCCTTTTCTGCCTTGGGTGTAGCTGCAAAGTTGTTCTCCTTAAGAAATTGCAAGGAGAAAATGTTGCATATGTGGAATTTTCCTTCTCAGAGGTTTTGAAGTGCTGTGTGTTTTCTCTCTGTACAACCCTGGAGCAAATCACATCCTCCATCAATGAACCCGTGTTGGTTAACAGCATATCACAGCATCATTCAAAAATCAAGCTTAAAGCAGACAGAGCTCTTACAGCCGATTATTTTGTGCACATTTTGACATGGTAGTGACTGTTGCTGCCATTTTGAGGCATGTTGCTTCCTCCAGGCTCCTTCCTCCTGTGCAGTGCCGAGCTCTGGTTGCAGTGAGGGTTCTGCATGCTGAGAACTGCTCCGTGCTCTCTCTCTCCCACAGCAAACAGGACAGGAGGGATGCTCCCTCCCCAGCACGGCTCTCGCCTGTCCCTGTGTGTCCTGCTCGTGTGTCTCAGGCGTGTTAAACTGGTGTTCTCCTTTCCTGCTGGTGGTGTGGGGCTGCTTCTCTTTCAGTGAGCTCCTGCTCGGTGGCAGCTTGAGAAGGCAGCGTGGAGTGTGGAGTGTGGGACAGCACAGCTCCCTGGGGACAGCACAGCTCCCTGGGGACAGTGCAGCTCCCTGGGGACAGCACAGCTCCCTTGGGACAGTGCAGCTCCCTTGGAGACATTGCAGCTCCCTGGGGACAGTGCAGCTCCCTGGGGACAGCACAGCTCCCTGGGGACAGCACAGCTCCCTTGGGGACATTGCAGCTCCCTGGGGACATTGCAGCTCCCTGGGGACAGTGCAGCTCCCTGGGGACAGCACAGCTCCCTGGGGACAGTGCAGCTCCCTGGGGACAGTGCAGCTCCCTGGGGGCACCACAGCTCCCTTGGGACAGCACAGCTCCCTGGGGACATCACAGCTCCCTTGGGACAGTGCAGCTCCCTGGGGACATCGCAGCTCCCTTGGGGACACCACAGCTCCCCTGGGACATCGCAGCTCCCCGGGGACAGTGTGGCTCCTCGGGTGATGCCACCACCCCGGTGCTGTCACCTCTGGTGCTGTCACCTCGGTGCCTCGCTCCTTCCCCAGTGTAACTCTGTGCTTTCCGTTTCACAGAAGGACAAACGCGACACTTCCAACTTCGACAAAGAGTTCACCCGGCAGCCGGTGGAGCTGACGCCCACGGACAAACTCTTCATCATGAACTTGGACCAGAACGAGTTTGCTGGATTCTCCTACACCAACCCCGAGTTTGTCATTAACGTGTAGTCGCGGCGCAGCCTGTCCTCGCTGTCCCACGCCAGGTGGCCCTGTACATAGGACACTAGTCTTCCGGGATTAGCAGTGCAGACACACGTCCCCCCCGCCAAACACGCCACCGCTTCTCCCCGGAGCTCTCCGTGTCCGTGCCACTCGCTAGCTTGGTGTCCCTAGCCGAGGTGTCCGGGGTGCCAGTTACCGGTCAGTGATACTTCTAGGAACTATAGTTGGTGGTGACTCATAGAGTTTTTAAACAGACATATACCAAACCGCTACGGTCTCTGTAACTTTCGCAGCGGGACGCTGAGATCCCCGTGAGCCAGCCAGTCCCGAGGCGTTGCTGTGGAATGCTGAGCATGGTTGATCGCTTAAAGCGTTGTGCTGAAGCTTGCGATGAGTGTGAGCTTGTCTTAGAGGAGCCTTTTGTTCAAGACATGGATATATTTGATCAGTGTGGAAAAATCTGCTTCTAGACCTCTCTTTCCCAATGCATTGTCCATAGGGTCAGCCCGGCTCCCCCTCCCTGCCTCGGGCATTGCGACTGCCAACCACTCCCATGGTCCTTGTAAATCAGAGCAAACCTTTTTCTAAGTGAAAGGTGGGGGGTTTTTGTAACATCTGGAACAGTTTGCAGTTTTGATACGCTCTGTCAGCACTCGCATAAATCTTTCACAGACGCTGTTGAGATGTAACAGCTCTGTAAAGGATATTAATATTCTACCAAAACAAAACACATTTATATTCTTGGTTTACAATTTACCAACTGAAAACACGCCCAAGACCAAAGGGCTGCACTGAGGGCTATTTGTAATGGAAACTTTTCTACTTTCCACCCTCTGCTATTCTCTTCCAGGCTCCAAACCCATGGATTTCACAGACATCTTGATTTCCCTGATTTCCACCAAATTCCTGGGGGTTTTAGTCAGTAATAATTTTTTTTTTTTTAAATTCTGAGTGAGAAGAGACAATTCCAGCAGCTGCTTGTGAGGCAGAGCCGTGGCGTGCGGGAGGGCAGGGGCAGGCAGGAGCAGCAAGGAGGGAGCAAGGACTGCAAGGAGGAGACAGGAGAGGGCAGGAGAGGGCAGCGGGGAGGAGGGGGCAGGAGAGACGGGCAGAGGCAGGAGAGAAGGGCAGGAACAGGCAGGGACAGGGAGAAGAAGGCAGGAGCAGGCAGGAACAGGCAGGAGCAGAGAGAGGAGGGAAGGAGAAGGGTGAGAAGGACAGGAACAGGCAGGGACAGGGAGATAAGGGCAGGAACAGGCAAGAACAGGCAGGAGCAGGGAGAAGAAGGCAGGAGTAGGCAGGAGCAGGGAGAGGTGGGCAGGAGAAGGGTGAGGAGGGCAGGAGTAGGCAGGAACAGGCAGGAGCAGAGAGAGGAGGGAAGGAGAAGGGTGAGAAGGACAGGAACAGGCAGGGACAGGGAGATAAGGGCAGGAACAGGCAAGAACAGGCAGGAGCAGGGAGAGGCAGAGGCTGAGCCCCAGCTGAGCATCCCCCAGGCCCTGTCACCCCGCTCCCGTCACAGCCCAGAGTGGTTTGCAGAACCCCGGGTGTGTTTTCTGAGCCAGCACTGCTTCTGCTGGATGCAGCCATTCCTCCAGGCCCCAGGGACATGGGGGGGTTTATCAATCATGAGGAATTCTATAGAGGAAATTCTAGTTCATAGATCTTTTATAAACATGGAACTCTACCTTTGGAAATTTTTTTTTCTTTTAATGATTCCTTGAGAACTAGAGGCTGCCAGCAGCTAAGGCGCTGTCAGGGGCTGAGTGTCCCCTCCCTGTCACCCAGCCACGGGCACTGTCCTGTACCTGCTGGGCTGAGAGCTGAGCCCGTGGCCTCGGGTGCTGCCCTGGGCTGGAGGAACCCAGACCAAACCCAGAAAAACTGCAAATTGTGCCAGATCAGGAGGGGCTCTGCAGCAGGCGAGGCCTGGGCTGGGGGCTGTGCCTGGTGGGGCTCCCCGAGGCTGGCACATCCCAAAGCCATGGGCCATCCTCTGCAGACCCAGCTGACGTCAGAGCATGTGCGTTCTGTGACCTCCCAACTGTTGCTGCAGAATTTGTGTTCCTTCAGTGGTGAATGTTTCCATTTCCATTCTTTGGCTCTGGAGGCGCTCCCAGCTCTGCCCGGGGTGCTCTGGGAGCTCTGGGGGCTGAGGGGCACCCCGGGGCCGTGGGGGCAGGAGCTGCTGCGGGGGGAGTCACACCTTTTTGTTTGGAACCTGTGTGTCTGTGTTGGGGTGACACTGGTGCATGGAGCAGGCACTGCTGGACCCTGAGCACACATGGTGGGCTGGGGGGGCCTGAAGGGCAGCTGGGATGGGCTGAGCACACCCGGTGGGCTCGGGGGACCTGCAGGGCAGTGGGGATGGGCTGAGCACACCCGGTGGGCTCAGAGGGGTCTGCAGGGCAGTGGGGATGGGCTGAGCACACCCGGTGGGCTGGGGGGACCTGCAGGGCAGCTGGGATGAGGCACCAGGCAGCTTTGGAGGCAGTTTGGGATTGAGATCCACGCTCCAGGGCGAGCTTGGCCAGCGCCAGGTCCTCTTCTCAGGACTCCTACCTTGGGTGTTCCTGGTGCTGTGCGTTCTGCTGCTTGCCAAACTCTTGTTCCAAGACTCCTTCCAGGTGTCCTGTCTCCTCTGTGGAGGGATGCACAGTGGGAAGTGCCTGGCCCTGCACACGCACTCAGATCTGTGTGGAAGGAACCCAAACCAAAGGAAGGGCAGAGTGGCAGGGGTCCAGTCACAGCTGATGTCACTTGGTGATGTAATCCTCACTGTTGGGTGGGCAGAGCAGGGCTTTGGGAGGATGCTCAGAGCTCCCCAGAGAGCCCAGGCCCCAGGTGCTCCACAGGGCTGTGGAGAAAGCCCAAGAATCCAGACCTGGAGCTGCTGGGGATGCAGGGGAGGGGAGCTCAGCTCTGGTGTCCCCCCTGCATTCAGTGGCACTGGCAGGGTCCCCTGAGGCAGAGGGGGACCCGGGAGGGCAGAGCAGGGGCTGAGTTGGCAGGACATGCACAGGGTGGCTCATCCTCTCTGTCCCCCTTGGACTGCACCCCAGTGCTGCAGGTAAGGGGGCTCAGGCTCTCGGCTGGCTCCCCCTGGACAGGGTGGGCCAGGCAGGTGTCCCTGGGCTGTGCTGAGCCCTCGGGAGCTGTGCCTGTGTCCCCGAGCAGCTCCTGGTCACCAGAGCAGAGGAGCCATCGATCAGCTGAGCCCATCTCACAGGTCCACGGGGTTGGTGCAGGGCCAGCCGTGGAGCTGAAGGGACAGCAGTGCAGGGCAGTCGCTGTGCCCTGTGCTTGAATCCCAGAGCTGGGAGCCCGGGAGGAGCCGGGGCTTGGAGCGCAGGGCACGGGGATCCCGCAGTTCCCAGGGCTGGGATTGCTCCTGGAGGGGGAGACCTGCTCCCCTGGCAGCGCTGGGCTGCTGTGGCAGGAGCAGGGGGCTGTGTGGCCACACGCCTCGGGCTCCATGCATGGGACTGTCACCTGAGCTGTTCATTTCTGAGCACATGCAAAGTGGCAATTAAGGAGGGAAAAAAAATTAAAAATTAAAAAAAAAAAAGAGAAAATGTTTATTGTTGAAGAGTTTGTGTTTGTGAATTTGATTTCACCTGCAAGTATTTGATGACTTTTCTACATCCTAGACTACCTGCTGTGTGTTGTCAAACGGTCCTCATGAAGACCTCCTTTTAGATGGGCATATACTCTTGATTCAATTTGCTGCATGTATGAAAAAAATAAAACATTTAATTTTAAAGAAACCCCGAGAGCTTGGCTTCCTTTGCCCACGAGACTGGGGGCGAGCCGGGGCCTGTGGGGTGGGGGCGTCCTGGGGGCCGGGGTCCCCCGGAGGGGCCGCAGGGAGTTCTGGCACAGCAGGAATGAATGCGGGGAGGGTCTGGGGTCAGAAATCTGCGAGAGCAGCTGCCCCAGCTAAGGAGGAGCCAGCGCTGGAAGGGGCACGGGGACGGGGGGAGGGCACAGAGGGGTTAATTGCCAGTTAATTGCTCGCTGATGAGTTACTGAAAGCTGCCGGAGAGCCCCCCCAGCAGCCTCTGGAGCCGGGCGGGGCTGGGGCACGGGCGGGGGTCGGGACCCTCTGGCTCCCCCGGCACCCGCGGGGGCTCCGGGGGCTCCCGGCCCAGCGCCCCCCGGCCCCTGGAGCCCGGCATTGCCTGCACATCCCTGCCTGTCCCTGCCCGTCCATCGAGGGCTCGGCTGGTGCCCGTGAGCCCCGGGGAGTTCGGGAAGGGCTTCTCCCCCCGTCTTAGCGAAGCTTGCAGCAGTGTCCCCTCGTCTGTGCCCCCCCTGCGGCTGGCGGTCACCAGGGACACCCCAACCCGCCCGGCTCAGCCAGCCCTGGCACTGCGGGCACCCCCTGGCATCTCCTCCGGGCTGGGCAGCCCCGAGCCGCAGCCCCCGGCCCGGACAGGGTTTGGGGTGCCCGGCTGAGCCCCTCCCCGGCTCGCTGCCGTGCCCGCTCCCAGCTCGCTGGAACGCTCCCGGGCTTTGCCTCTCCTGGCTTGTGTAAGTGAAACATTTGGTTTTGTGACACTTCCCTTAATTATGGGAGCTAATGACAAAACCATTGTGACAAATGACTCAGCTTTTGATAGTGAAGTTAATTAATTCTGAAGTTAGAGCCTCCTTTGGAGTATCTGGAGAAGCCCGGTTGGGAGTGCGCTCACCCAGCGTGACACGGGCAGCAGAGCCCCCGTGCCGGCCAGGTAAAGCCCCCGGGCTGGCAAGGAGACCTGCCCGGAGCAGGGGGTGAGAGGCCGGGCACGGCTCCCGATCCATCCCTCTGTCCGTCCATCCGAGCTCCCAGGGAGCCTCGTTCATGCCGGACTGACCAGGAGAGCTCTGGCTGGGCGCTGACCTTCAAGAGCGTCTCCCTGAAGCCATCTTTCATCTCTTTCATTTGCATTACAATCCTGTTTGCCTCATTATTCCTTATCCAGTTCTTCTTCAAAGGATTTGAATCAAATCAATTAAATTGTGGCAGGCTGCAGCGGCAGCGAACCTTTCCTCGTGGCTCAGCGTGGTCCGGCTGGACCTGACTGCAGAATGGGTTTAATCCTCTGCTATTTGTTCTTTTATTGCTTCTGGGCTGCCTCTGCCCGCAGCTGCCTTTGATCGCGGTCCGTCCCGTGCAGACGCTCCCTGCGCAGGCTGCTCTGTCTGACCTTGGGAAGGATTCTCTCCGGGGAGCTGGGGGCTGCTGGCCGCGGAACGGCTCTGGGGGCCCTGGGGCACTGCCGTGGTGCTGCTCCATCCCTTCCCATCTCCTCTGCTGCTTTTGTCTGCCCAGGGAGCCAGAGGATCACGGAATCAGTTTGGAAATGCTCCCTGAGCCCATCAGCAGCTCCTGCAGCACTGCCAGGGCCACACTGACCACGATCCTGTATGCCACACCTGCACGGCTTTTAAACCCCCCAGCTGCGGGGACTCTACCACTCGGCAGCCCTTTCAGTGAAGAAATGTTCCCAAATATCCAGTTTAAACCTCCCCTGCTGCCAGTCGAGGCTGTTTCCCCTTGTCCTGTCCCTTCTTCCCTGGAGAAGGGACTGAGCCCCACTGGCTGCACCCCCTGGCAGGGAGTCAGAGTCAGCACAGAGGGGGGAATGCTGGAGAAATGTCACAAGTGTGGGCACAATCCCCCGGATCTGGGCACCAGCTGCTGCCAGAGTGGTCGCCCAGGCCCGGAAGATGCTGGCCCACGCACGGCCACCCCTGCTCCCCCAGCATCTCCAGGAATAAAGAGGCTTAATCAGAATGGATCCTGTTCCTCCCCTGCTATTTTTATTGCTGCTCAACTGTCGGAAATCCAGCAGGGAGAGCAGAGCTGGTGGGGGATTGCTCGAGCTTGCACGGAGCAGCTCGTGCCGTGGCCCTGCCCTGTGGCACGCGTGGCACGGCTGGCACCCCTGGCAGCTCACCAGGCAGGGACAGCCCAGCCTCACCCTGGAGTCCTGCTGCAGCCAGGGGATCGCAGCCAGCGCTCCCAAAGTGGTGCAGATATAAATAATCCCCTCGTAGGAGTGGGCAAGGATGAGCACACTCCCGAGGCTCTGGAGTCCTTATCCCCCCGCAGCCCCCGGGAGCAGGAGAATGGAGCGAGGGCTGGGCAGGGCTGGAGCCTCTCCCTGCATCGCTAATGACCCAAACTCGCCTTGCCTCAGCCTCTCTTCCTTCAAGGAAAAACCTAATCCAGCTAGGGATTATTCTGACTACTTACTTCCTGTCGCTTTGCCAGTGTCAATGCAGCAGAGCTTTCATCGCTGGATTTGGGAGGACAAAGCCTCACTGATCTCGGGTTAGGACATTTTTGCCTGCAAGGACAGCTTTTTTCTTGCAAGAGTTGTACGATCTTTGCAGCATGGGCTGAGTTTTTGATTTGTTTCAACTTTGCCCAGCGCAGTAGGGTCCAGGTCCAGGAGCAGGAGGATGATGATGGACAGGGCAGGGAACAGGAGGAGGTGATGAGCTGGGGCTGGAGCTGGAGCTGGAGCTGCCCAGGCTGCCCTGGTCAGGGTGCCAGGCTGTGACCCTGCAGTTTGAGTTGCAGAGCAGGACACCAAGGTCACCAAATTCCCATTGGTCCCAAAGCTTAGCGAAGCCCGGGGGAGGCCAGAGCTCCCGGCTCGCTCCTGGAGCTGCCACCCCACTCACGGAGCAGTGAGAGGGGTGCAGGGCTGTCCCCACCTCCAGCCCCACAGGGGCCAAACACGATCTGACACGGACTTTGCTTCTGTTTGAGCTCGCTTTGTTCAAAGCCTAGGAAACGGTACATGTGCACTCTGCTCACACCTACACACGCTGTGTTAAAATAACACAATTAAGGCTGCAAGATCCCCCACTCACAGCGCAATTTGCAGCCCCTCAGCTGTGGGAGGCTGATATCTTTGCAGCCTCTGCGCAGCCGGGGCCGGGCGGGCGCTGCTGACGGGGCCGGGCAGGGGCGGCGGGGCTGGCAGGAGCGGGTGCCACCCGGCAGCTGTGCCACAGAGCCTGGCCGTGCCCGGCCGTGCCCCCAGCCACCTGCCTGGTGCCCGCGGGATTGCTCAGGGGCTTGGGAAAACCACCAAGAGGAACTTTTTACACAGGCTGGCAGTGACAGGGCGGGAGGGAATTGTTATAGATTAAAAGAGAGATTCATATTGGGTATCAGGAGGAAATTCTTCCCTGGGAGGCTGGCACAGGGTGCCCAGAGCAGCTGTGGCTGCCCCTGGATCCCTGGCAGTGCCCAGGCCAGGCTGGACAGGGCTGGGAGCAGCCTGGGACAGGGGGAGGTGTCCCTGCCATGGCAGGGGTGGCACTGGGTGGGATTTTGGATTCCTTCCACCCCAAACCATTCTGGGTTCTGTGATTCTGTGCCCAGTGCAGCCATGCCCAGGGCTCATCCCGGTGTCCAGTCTGTGACACCGAGGTGTGCCCTGGGAACCGACCTGTGCCTCTGCCAGTGCCACTCCCCAAAACCGAGAAGCCACAACCCCTCCTCACAAACACCCAGAAGACCCCCTGAGCTGCAGGGGGGTGCTGCTGACCCCAGCCCCTGGCTCCCCATGCCGGCACTCCTCAGAGGGCTGTGTCCCCCCCAGCTGCCGGCTCTGGCACTCTGCAGATGGAAGCGCTGGGGAGCAGGAGCTGGTGCTGTGCGCCCAGAGAGCCTGGGCAGAGCTGCACCGCCTCCAGCCTGCGCTGGGAGCGGGCACGGGGCCCGTGGGGAAGCAGGGGATGAGGCAGGGTGATCGCAGCCAGGAGCCAGCGGGAGGCTGGGGGGGACGCGGCGGGGCAGCAATCAGCGCGCCCTGCCTGGGGAGCCGCACAAACCGTGATTGCAGCTCGAGCAGCCACTTAATTCCCGCATTCTTAATTTCTCAGCACCTTCATAATTCTCTGTTTGCCTTTTTGGAGTAAATAACTAGTATTTCCATGTGAGTGCATGCAGATGAGGGCTGGGAAGCGCACGGCACCGTGTAAATCAGCCGCTTCCCCGTCTCAGCGTGGCCCTTCCAGAACCGTGAATTCCAGAGGTAAGTGAGTTCTGGAAAGGTCGCGTGAGTCAGGGCTCACCCAGCCGGCTGAGGGATGTGCCAGGGAGATGAGGAGACAGCGGGAGGGAGAGGGCAGGGGGGTAACTGCTGGGAATGGCGCAGGAGCGCTTTGAGGGTGCGAGGGACGCTCCGGCTGGAGCAGCTCCTGCGCAGGGGAGAAACCCCGGTTTGCCGGGGCAGGGACGGCTCCGTGCAGCGTGGGCAGGCGCTGTGCCCCCCTGGGCTCCGCTGTGTGCCCCCGGCCCCTCGTCCCGGTGCCAGCGGTGCCCGGTACCGGTGCAGCAGCTCAGGCACCGAGCTGGGGGGGCTCAGGGAACCGAGCGGCCCCATGCCGGGGCTGGTGACTGTCGCTGGCACTTCCAGGGGATTTCCGTGTCCCAGGGCAGTCCCGCTCCGCTCCCGCAATCCCGGTGGTCCCGGCGGCGGTCCCGGCACCCAGCGGTGCGATCCCCCCGCCCAGTCCGGGCTTTCTTGCAGGGTCTCTCTCCCCTTCTCGCGGGGCAGTCCCGACCCCAGCATCCCGGGGTGGGGTTCCCGGGGCACTCGCGGTCCCCGCCCAGCGCCGGCACCCCGGGGTGGCTTTCCCGTCCCGGTGCCCGTGCCCGCGGTGCCGGCCGGGGGGAGCGGGCGGGGGGCGGTGTCCCGGCGGCGCAGCCCCATGAGGCGGCGGGCGGCGGGCGGCGGCGCCGGCCCTTCCC